CATTAAAAACCACGTTCGAACTCCAACAACATTCGAATGCCCGTTAAAGAAGAAATGCTTTTACGTTCGAACGTCAAGTAACATTCGAACATAAATCCCAGACAAAATGCAGGCAGATTAGATTTTCACCTAGATTTTGTGGCATAGGCTTGGACATTAAGCACCTAGGTCTGTCCTTTACCTCTCTCCCGTGTCTATAAATACCACCCTTGGAACTTGTTGAAATCATCTTTTGGAAGTGAAAAAACCCTCCAAAAGTAACTAGTTTTCTTCTACTTTCATCATTAGTTTCATTAGCTTCTTGGCTAAAGCTTCTTTCTTCACTTAGAAGATTGAACCTCTCTAACCTTTCTAGCTTTCTTGTGGCTTTAAAAGGTGGGTAGTGTTTCACTCATTCTTTGTCAGAGATAGGCTAATTGTTTTGGTAAACATTAACTTGTAATTAAAAGTTCCTCTACATGGATGGATGATAATCACTCACTTTTCTAACTTTCTCAAAGTCATGAAGAGTGTGTAGTTTCTCATTGACTATTTAGTAAGAAGTGATGGACATGTATATTATTGTTTGGAAGTTATATGTGTGCATTTCATTTATGCTTAATGATTTATCTTTCTATTGCTTATTGAATGATTGAATGCATCTAACAAAACTAAAGTACTTTGTACAACCATGAATCTCTTATAGACAAGTTAATTCTTGACATAGGAGAATTCATTAGTTCTTTGCAAGTACTCAAGTTAGATCTTCATGACAACTTCTCAATCTTCATTGTCATTATGCTTTAACTAAGAATAGAGTAATTTAACAGTTGCTGGATGATTTGTAGGTTTGCTTGCTTGTTTGTAGACGGGATAAGTCCTCACAATAACAATTCTTGCAAATCTCTACAAATACATTGGAGTCATGCTCTTAATTCATACAGTCCATCTTTATCCTCTGATTAACTTACTATTGACTTAGGGGTTAATTGAGTGTTTACAAAGCACATATATAACAACTAGATGAATAACTACATGTTCAGATTCTCGAGCAAAAGGGTGACTCTTTCATTTAAGAGAATCTTATATTTTGTACAAAACATTCTATAATCATCATAACTTCAAATCTCAAGGTTTCCATTCACTTTGATCTTTATCATTTATAACTTTAAAATACCAACATTAGTTCCCTGTGGATACGACTCCGGACTTAACAGGATTATAACTATAACTTGATCACCTGCACTTGAGTATACACATTCCAGATCAAGTCAAGTATCTAGGTCATTACATTTGTTCTAAGCTTGAAAGTGCAACTAAAGTGTGGATGATACAGCTTTGACACTTGATCTCCTCAATTCAATGATGCTTTTGAATCTTTAACCTTATAGCATCATGATCATGAAATAGATTGAGATTTACAATGGACTCCATGAAATTAACTAATTACAAATCCATATCTAATACTCTTTACATCAAAGTTCGCAATCCACAAAGTCAAGATCAAGGCGTCATTGTGAGGGTGGTGAATTTTCATCAAATCTTCATCGGAGAAGCTGATTAGTCAATTCGACCATTCAGTTCTTGGTTTTTTGCTAATCTGCTCGGTCGAGGGATCAACAAGGCAAATTTCTCTAATCTGCGAAGCTTTCTGAATGTATGACCTAGCAGTGTTATTTGTCTCCATGTTAAGGTCTGTGGCTACGTGGATCATATTAATCACATCAGCGGGATCCCACACTTGACCCCATGCTACCTTTTTCTTCCTAGTTGCCTTAATCTTGATTTTTTCTTCATTAATAAATTAAGATAGGTGGCCGACCTGAAGGAGTTTGCTCTAGGTCCTACTTTAGAGAACGACAACTCTTTGTCATATGCCAAATGTCACAATGGTAAGAGCACCTAAGGTTGGGGTTCCTTTTCTCTAGATCCCCGCCTAATTTATTAGGCCCTTAAAGTATGGTTTACCCTAAATTTGAGACAACATTCTATAAATTGGCTCTTTAAATACTATGTTGACGCTAGAGAATGATGAATAGGACAGAAGCCTTCTTTCTTTTTTCCCTGCGTTGCCAATGGGATTGGTTTTTCCTATCTCTTACATTTTGTTTTCTGCTCGACTGGTCAAAGTTAACCTCCTTATCGATCTCGTCATCGACCTTCACATATTTCTCTACCCTAGCCACCAACTCTTCCATGTCAATGGCTGGGCACTAAGTCAAGGACTAGTACAACTGGTTGTCTTTGGGCAATCCAATCTTGAACAATGTGACTATAATTTCTAGGTTGCAACTTTCTATCTCATTCATTGTTTCTTAGAAATGATTAGCATATTCTCGTAGCATCTTGCTTTGTTTCTTTTTCAGGGAGAGTAAGGCTTTGATGTCCTTTGGATGCTTACTACTAGTGATAAATCGAGCAATGAATTGTTCGACCAATTGCACCCAACTGTCAATGAGTTTCTTAGTAAGCTGTCATACCACTTCATTACTTACTATTCCACACTACTGTGGAATATCATGCATTTTAGTGTCTCGTTCTTCCTGTGGATAACCATAACTTGTCTATAGTGATAGATATGTGCCGTTGGGTCACCTTTATTCCCCCAGAGTACTCACTAGTGGCCCTTTTGGCCAATTCCCTAGTTGGTTTTTGCTTAGAGCGCTTTAACCTTCTATTAAGATCCTTGGTTAAAACGCACCTCCAGCTTTGCTCATGATTTCCAACCTTAGCTGATTTCCTTCTCCCATGCCTATATTGTCTGTCCTCTTTGCGTTTCTCCCAATACTGGTCGGATCTAGGGCTGTGCTCGGGTCAGGAAAATTCTCCCCTAATCCTTGTTGCATTTGGTCAGACTTCTTGATCTTGTGATCTCCTCAAGGCCTCTCTTAGCATCTCATTCTCCTGTTTGAGTTTCTTTTCCTCCTCTTGGGACCTTCTAATCGTTGTGTCGCAAGAATCAAGTTGTTTTTGGAAGGACTGAACTAATTTCATGAAAGTTGAGATCTCCCCGTCGGTACGTGAGAAATCATCTTGGCAGGCCTCATCCTACAGGTGGTATCGGCTAGATGATATATTGTCAGGGTTTGCTCGTTCCTCATTTGAACTTCTAGTAGCATCCTCATTGATATCAATATCCTAGGGTAAGAACACTTGGTAATTATGTGCAGGATCATACTCGTTAAACTCTTGGTTGTTAGGAGGTAACCTAAGTGTGCTCCGTAGGTTTGACATGGTTGACTTTGCTCATTTCCTATAGATGGCGTTAATTATACAATGAAAAAATCTTATAACTTTGATTGATGATGATATGAATTCTGAAATACAATTTTGGGAGAAACGAGCAAGAAAACAACTTCTTCCTACAAGACAAAAAAACTACCAAGTACCGAGGGTGAATCGGATGAAGACTCTCTGATGCTTAAGTTAATAATAACTTTGAGAATTAGCAAGCAAGATTAGAGGAAAAGAAGTATGTACTTTAAAATTAAGCTTTACCCGATATTTATATTAGTTTGTACCCTCTCTAGGGTTTTGCTATTAGTTGAATAAGATGGCACAACTATTCTTTAGCCAAATCTTCCATAATTTGTATTGAAGCCTTTTTAGGCTTCCTTCCCGGTTTACCTATTATTTAGGTCACCTTTTATAATGTCCACCTATCATTTAGATAGACTCTCTTTTTAGTTTTACACCACCCCAATTACTCGTGATAGCCTAGTTATCTCTTGGTTCAATCGTATCCCTAGTGAAGGTTGTGTGTCAAATAAGTACCAACTCTTTTATCTTGATCGGTTTCATCAATTGCTCAATTCCTTCATTAACCGAGCAACTTTGTCATTTGCTCGGCTAGGTCCTGAGCCAGTTCGGCTAGTTCTAATAAAGCTTGGCTGGCTGACCATTTCTAAGAGAGGCATTGCCTATTCACTCTTTTCTTCGTGATGATTGACATGTGTCTTTTTTGTCATGTGACCTATTCCACATGTACTAATTAAATGATCTAATCATATGTAGTCATTTTTGATCGTTAGATTAATTATAAATTTCAATGTTAGATATAATTCAATTTTATTTTAATGGGCATTGAATTAGATCCTCAAATTAGATTCAATTAGCATTTGAGCAATGCTAAATTTTGGTGTACAAATTTGATGGATAAAGAATTATTCATAGTATTTTCATAATTCAACAGCTACATTGAATTAAATTCTGAGCATGTGTGTAAATTAAATCTCTGATGGCATACATAAAAATAGTTGATTTTTAGATGCCTACGGAAGTCTCAGTTCAAGATAGGGGTGTTTAAAGTTTCGATTACCCGCAAATTTCGATCATACTTTATCCTATCCGACTTTATTCCTACCCTACTCTGCACACACACACACACACACACACACACACACACACATATATATTAATCCCTAAAATTCAAAAATCTAGAAACCCTAATGTGATATTAATGTGTACAACTTTCTTATAGTTTATGACTTTTTTGTTGTATTTTATTATAATTGTTTATGTATTATCGAATTTATTGTATTTTTTTAGTATTATTGATTTATTATGTTAGTTAATTGGTGCATGTTACTTAATTAAATTATTAAAATAATTCAAAAATTAATAATTAAAAAATGTGTTCACCCGACTTCCTACCCAATTGTTTTGGGTAGAATTCGGATAAGAATACTATACTTGATCATAATAGGTTAAAAAAAAAAATTACATAATTCAAATAAAACTAAAAAATTAAAACCCAAATGTATATCTTATTTTGGATGAGTGAGTCTTATTGAAAAAATTGATAAAACCTACTTATCAAAGAGATGATATATATTTCAGATACTACTTTTTGAGTTTTATTTAGGTTTTATTTGAATTTTTAGCATTGCTCAAAATTTTTTTTTTCTGCAACATATGGGATAAGAAAATAAAATACCATATAATTATATAGGGTGAACACCCTAGTTCAAGAATGCTTGCATCCGGAAGGTTCCTTTGCTCAGTCTTACAGCGAATGAAAGTGGAGCCAAAACCAAAACATACGGTACCTGCTGAATCCCGAGAGCGTAAATTGCAGAGAGAAGAGTAGAGAAGTGAAGATGGATGGAAGGCGAGTGAGAAGGGCTGGGAGAGGACAAAATCAGACCCTCCTGCCCCTCCGCGTCAGGCACCTGTCCAACACTGTTTCTTGTTGGTACTCATACGTGTTCTCTGTCTTTCCCTCCTCATCATAAATTCTGAGCAGGAGATCATGCAATTTCTCTCAATAACTCTCCTACAGGTACTGTGATTTCAAGACATCGGCCTTGAATGAACCACTATTCCGTTTCGGACGAAGACATGCAAGGTATATTTCCCACTTCGTCTTGCTCTAATGTCTTATCCCTCTAATTGTCAATTGTAGTCTCTGCCCTTTTCCTTTCTGTAAAGTAAAATTAATATTTTTTTGGTAAATGTAATATCTAACAAAAGGTAGTCGAAGGAGGACTCTTATCGGATTTGGCTGAATCGCAATGAAAAGTAGTTCTCGGTCCTCGGAGATATATGTCGGTGTAACAGGTCACTGATAGTCTAGTTCCTACCGACCTGAACTCATTGGATGTGGAGGGCACAGAAAAACCTTGTTACGTTCCCCTCTTGAACACTGATGAAGATAATTTTCTTGACAGAACTAGGCAGAGAGAACAAACACACGTAGAATTCTAAGAAAAGAACGAGAGAGATAGATACAGAAGTAAGGTGAAGTAGCTTCTGGATGGCCTGGGTTTTCATATAGTTTCAATATGGGGGTGTCGAGCGTTTTTATAAGGTGAAGTAGTCTTAAGCTTTTCCTGATTTTCTGAAGTTGGTTTCATGAGTAACAGTTTTACAAACTTTCTGATGTGGGATGACTATGGGCAATTGCTTCAGCATCTTTCCGATGTGAGATATATGTATTAGGGCTTTGAAATACACATGATATGCATTGCATATTTTGTTGTTATGAATGCTTTAATAATTTTTGAAACTTGTGGAATTGGAGCTCAGCTGGTTACGTACTGGCTCTGTCATACAGGTGTTTGAGAGTCTGGTTTTCTGTTGGGATAGGTTTTAGTCTTACCGCACTGCTTGGAGTTACTATGGTCAGAAACTAAAACTTTTTGATAATTTCAAATTCTGTATAAACAGCTATCTCCGGTTATTCTGTTCAAGATCATTTTTCCTTCTTTTTCATGGGTGGTTGACCAGGTTCTTATATGGGAATTAGCCAGGGCTCTGCATTTCTACAGTGGGAAGGGCCAGCTCAGCAGTCGTTTGAGTGAATCTTTGCTTGGGTTTTCCCCTTTGGTGAGCATTCAATCTAATTGATGTAAGACCTATGTTGGAATCAGCCTCTAAATAGGTAGAAGTGGAGAAGTGGTTTGTGTAACATGTTACAGTTACTCATGACTGCCCATATGACTGGTTAGTAATTATGGTACTAGTCTCTCTTAGCTTTATGTTCCAAGCTCTTTTACTCATCCAACCAGTTAATGTTGATTGTTATATCTTGGCTTCGTTGAAATGGAATGTACTTCTTTCCACAAAATCCATGAGCATGTCATATTTAAGTTTTGCGGCAGTGAATTGATTGAGCGAGTACTCATGCTGAAATTTACTCTATGATTTTAATTTCCTCATCCTCTCTAGTTTCATCTTGACTTTCCAATATTTCTTAAACAACAAAGATTGGCGTGATTGCAGATCTTGTTGAACCCCTATGTTTCATGCTCAGGTTTCAATGGATCTGATCCACGGGAGAGGTTTTTGTGATGTTGAGTCTTTTGTTATAGTTGGACGGCTTTTTGTCCCAGTTGTACATTATTAAATGAAGGATTTTAAAAGTTGCAATTGCCTGCAGAAGTAGACTCCTGCTAAATTGACCTTTAGGATTAACGTCAAGTCTTACTACTTTGAAGCATGGAGGCCTAACTGCTATAGATAGTAGGAAACCATAGATCAAATCCAATAAATCCCATATATTTCAGTTGGTATAGAATTGTTTGGCATGAGCATAGTAGCTTGAACCATATCCCAGGCAAAAAGCAGCTTCTCAAGATTTTAGTTATTTATATGATGTTGGGGCTTATTGATGGTGATTAGTTTTTATTGGCCTACATGAGAACTAATTATACCTTTTCATTGAGCATGTAATTCTATTTGTCACCCCCCCAGCATTGATTAGTTCTTTTGCTCCTGTATCTTTGCAGGTTTTTGGATTGAGTATCTCACTTGCTGATGTTGGTTACATATGTATATCTACCGTTGTATCTGTATCTGCACATGAATTTGGGCATGCTCTTGCTGCTGCAAGGTTAAGAATTTTTATCTTTTTTTTTTTTATGGATTTATCAACTAGAGCACCTGATTGGACAATCCCATGGACTTAGACATTTTAATTATAACTCGTAAACTTCATATGTGTATTATGTATATATCATATATCTCTAGGAACCAAATTATTCTCAAGTAAAAGGAAACTATAAAATTAAGTAATTGTATGCTTTAACTTTTTTTTTTTTAACAATTAAACTACTCAAGAGTTGTAATGGGTAACATTAGCTTCAATTGAAATCTTTGTAAATGTTAAATACGTAACCTAATTTGGCAAACAATTTGTTTTCTTTTTGTTTGGGGGTGGGGGTGTTTAGATGCCCCTCCTCCTTTATGTAGGCAAGTGTGTGTGCATTTCACCTTTCCATGGCTTAGAAAATCAGTGCTCAAGCTAAGGAATAAGCTTTGCTCTTGGTAATTAGCTTCAGTTGAAAACATTTCGTAGATGTCATACAAATGATATAATTTTGACTAACAATTTGGGGGTGGTGCATTCTCTGTGTGAGTGTCTGTTTTTTTTTTTCGTGTTTGGAAAATAATACAATGCAAGGAATAAACTTTATTCTCTGAGCATTTGGTATATGATGCATATGACGTTTCAAGATTCCAGCACTTCAATTGAAATATTTAAAAAGTGAAAATGGGAGAGTCGGAGAGTAAAGACCTGATTTGTCTTGGTGAAGAAGTTTTGTAAGTTCTTTTTGGTGGAGGTGTGGTTGCTACATTTTGAGGGAAAGGACTGGAGCTAGTTGCAGGATTAGTGAGATGCCTTGAACTTGATTTTGTGGATTCGCAATATGGTGATCCAGTGAGATTACATTTTGTCACAGTTGTATTCATTAGTGTACATAAGATGGATGTCTTTATTGTTTTTGAAACTCGTTGCTTTTCATGAATGGGGTGCATGTTCTATATGTTTGGGCAATCAATCTCATGACTAGTACTGTTTTACTTTTAAAATTTGCTTACTAGTTATTTGCTGATGTAATCTATGATGAATCAATCATGGAAAAATTGGTAAGTTTATAGATTGGAATATATGTAGATAATAAATCTTATGATCAAGGATCAAAATATCGTTTTGAAACGGTCGAAATATTCAAAACGTTTTCGTTTCCAAGGAGACCAAAACGAATCAGTGGTAGAATCGAAATTCTAATATTTCGAGTTATTTCATAATGTTTCGAGATGTTTTATAATATTTTAATACATTTGTACAATTGTTTCAGAATATTTCAAGAAATTTTGATATATATCGACCAATGTTTTAGAAAAATAATTCTTATTTTTTTAATTTTTTTCATTATGTTTCGAAACACGTTGAAACGTTTTTGTTTCTTAGGTGACTGAAACAATACACTGAAACGAAATTTTGATCTTTGCTCATGATTGGTATTATAGGTGCCACTTTTATGGGAAGTAGCGTGGGCATACAAATAGAATACATTGCAGTATTTGTAGGAGTGTTGTTTCTCAGAGCTCTCATGGCTTTCAAGGATGAGTTGCTACCGGCATCTACCCTTCCTTCGTATATAGTACATTGGCATTTGGCACACGGTTAACAAAAACATACATGGTCCTACGAATTGTGATGTGGGTCACATGAACCTAAATGGGGTAGTTCGCAACCTGGATTGCCTATCTCAATGACCCCCAATTTTAATTTATCCCTAAGTCAAAAACCAAACCCCTAATGAAAACCCTAACTCCAATCAAACACCAAATCTCGCAGTGCAGGTTACAAAAGTGGGAAGGAAAAAGCCAAGGGATAGAGGCAAAATTTAGTGACGATTGAGTTACATACTAGATTGATTGCAATCTCACTCGCAGCTGGTCAATCTGTATGCATAACCTTCGAATTCGTCCTTCAAATAAAAGTTTGCACTCTCTATTCATCAATCAAAAGATGCATTTGGTTCATTTGGGTCGGTTGCCACTGTTAGAAGGATTTGTTTGAGACTCTTTGTGTTCGTCTTATCTGATATTATTCGTGTTCGTTATGTCTCGTCTGAGGCTCTCCCTCCCCCGTAGTTGGTTAATTGGTAGCATTTTCTTTATTGAACGGGCAATTGGTAGCCTTGACTGACCTAATGGTATGTTTGGGTGAAAAGTCTAAAAAAGCCCTCTACGCTATGTGACATGAAAACCTATTTGGGGTAAAAAAGTCAAAACATCCTTTAGGGTTAATTAAGCATGGGCTGCCTTTGCTCGTCTACAGGGTTGCATGTAGCCCTATAAATGCTTTTTTGATTTTTTTTCACAAGAATGACAGCCCCATAAATTATCTTCGCAATTACCTTATTGAATTACAGTCTTTATTCAGCATCTCCGTACGTAGTATTGTGTTATTATAATTTGAAAAAATGGTTTTTGGGAAAAGAAGAACGGAAGTACAAGATTTTTCTCAAAAACAAATGATGGTAATATTCAAAATTTGGATAATTTGCTGACAGACATAAAGGTGAACATATTGAAGAATCAGAAGAAGATAACACTAGCCAACCACCAAAAAATAACACACACAACCAAATCAATTACAAGTTGATGCAAAGTTGAAACTGTTAATGAAGTCAATCTAATTGGTACAGTTCAAGGAAAAGATCCAGGGGATCAAAGAGTTGATATGTAAACATTGTGGTTGTAGATTTACAAGTTCATATACCCGAAGGCATTACCATTTTTTTGGTGTCCCACGCAGAAGAAAAGTAGAAATTAAACAGTGTTCAATAGTGATGAATAGTGAATATCAAAAATTGTTAGAAAGAGTACATAAGGCAGAATAAATAGGAGTTTATTCGTTCTTGAAAATTTCTACATTGATAAAGGGGCAACCTTTGTCAATGACTGGATCAATTGAAGATGTATTCAAGGTGATTTATCAAGATATGGTTGACATGATTGTAGTGAAGGGATTGTGGGTTAATAGAATTCCATTGAATTTGTTTGGAAATCCTAAATTCAATGAGATGATTGCAGCCATAAATAAAGGTCCTAAAAGTTGCAAGGCTCCTACCTATGAAAATCTAAGAACTATATTATTGGATGAGTATAAAAGAAGTGTTAAAAATAATTTGATTCTGGTTAAAGATACACGGTATTCTCGTCGGGTATCAATTGTATTAGATGATTGGACCAATGTCGAGCATCAACCATTAATTAATATTCGCAAATAACCGTATAACTATGTTTTTATATGTTAAAGATTTTTCGGGGATAGAGAAAATAAGTCAATTAATAACTTATTTTTTGTTGAAAGTGATTGAACAAATAGGCCTGTTAAATGTCATTTAAGTAGTGATCGACAACGCAACAAGTTGCAAACTTGCGGGAAAGGAGGTAGAAAAAGTACACAAACATAAATTTATCTCCTTGTGTTGTTCATACTTTGAAGGATAAATTAAACTTTGATTCTCTCAACTTTGACAATTTTTTCACTTTGCCTCTTCAACTATTGAATTTTTCACATTGTCCTCGCAACTACTTTGATTATTTTATAGTGTCACAATCCCAAGTATCCGTTATATTTTTGGATAAAAATTGTTGATGTGTCGGGGCAAAGTGAAAAAAAATACATAGTTTAGGGGGCAAAATGAAATAACTTTACATTAAATATGTAGTGGACGTTAATAATTGAGGTAATCTGTAACTAATCACGTAGTTGAGGGTACAATGTGAAAAATATGATAGTTGAGGAGGCAAAGTGAAAAACAATCATATTTGAGGGGTCAAAGTATAATTTATCCTACTTTGAATCTCATTTTTAAAGACATTGCAAAAGAATTTGAATGGTTTAGAAATACTTATACAAGAAGAAAGTTGATTGTAAAATATTTCTTGAACCATACTCATGCTTTGACTATATTTAAGACTCAAGTCAAAATTTGAGTTATTGAAAGTGGGAAAACCTATGTTTGTATCACATTATATTTTGTTGATGCGACTTGTTGGCTGTAGAGTCTCTTTCAACTATTGTTGTTCTTAAGACCTGGAAAAAATTGTTAAAAATTAGGGATGAACACACAAGGAAGTTAGGTGCTATGGTTACAAAATCGGTGAACAGGGAGGAATTTTGGGATGATGTGGAGAATGTAATAAGTATCATAAACCCAATATTTTTTCTTATTAGATTATGTGATGGGAATGGTAAAAAAATGGGTGAGATATATGAAAAGATGGACAATAAGTTTGGTGACATAAAAGATATTATGATAGCACACTAATAAATTTTTCCAGATTGAAAAATTGTGGTTCATAGGTTGGAGAAGATGAATGTTCGTTTACATTGTCTTGGGTCTGTACTAACATCACGGTTTTATGATACTCAATATCTTGCTAAGTTAGCACTAGGAGGTATAGTTAAGAAGACCCCAAATCAAGACAAGGAAGTGATCATAGGTATTACGCAAGCATTTAGAAAGATAGCAGAAAATTTACAATAAGCAAAACTTTTTTGAGAATAATATGCAAATTTTCATTCACGAAAGGGTCTCCTTGCTATGGTGGCTTCTCAAACAGATGTTGTGACTATGGATGCTCTTGCTTAGTGGTCCACATATGGTTCAGACACTCCAGAATTAGCAGATGTGGTGAAAAATGTATTAATTTAAATTTATTGTTGTTTATTGTATTGTCTTTTATCATTATTATCTTTGTTTTATTATTTTCTTTCATAATAATATATTATCCCAACCAATTACAAGTTCATCAGCTTAAAGAAATTGGAGTACATAATCATTCTTTCACAATATCTATAGAAATAGATTGAATTCTACAAGAGCTGATAAACTGATTTTTATTTATTCAAATATTTGTCTTCAATCACGTTTCACTGGAAGTTATAGAGATGGGCCTTTAAAGAAATAAGTCATCAATCCAGATCTCACATATATAGATGAATCCATTGTGTGATTGGAGGATTTGTAGTGGAAATCCTTGGAGGTTGATTATATGGATAGTTCTACCATAGTACCATTGCTACTTAGGAAGATGATGAAGCACCATCCTTGCATGCTTCTATATTATTTCTAGCAGGCCACCACTTCGTTGTTTCGGGCTACATTAGACTTAAATTTTTAACTTTGCAAGAAAATAGAGTACTTCAAAAGATAAGGAGAAAATAGTTGACAATTAAGCATTGTGCTTTAATTTGATTTACAATTGACTTATTTTTATTTTGAGATTTGTTAGTTAATTAAGTTTTTTATTTTTATTTTCTATTCAAGTATTTAGTCATTCCCTAGTACCCTAATTTTAATTTTAATTGCCTTAGAATTTTTATTATGACTTTTTTTTTGTTTTTTGTAATTCAAATATGTAACCATTACTTTTCCTGTTAATAATTATTTAGCCGATGCGTTGTTGTGAGTCCTGATTTGCCCAGACACATACTAAAATACCAAATAAATATTGACTATTTGTGTATGCATATATAATTAAACAAATAGTAAAAACTATTATGGGTACAAAATAACTACTAACTCATTGAGTTTATGTATGTATCACTATATATAAATTTTTATAGTAGTGAAAACGATCTAGATAAGAATCCAAAGCTAACCACGGAAATCTCAAAAAAAAAAAAAAAGCTTTCGAAGATCAAGAGCGTGATGCTCCCTCATGCAACTCACCTTTCTTCTTTACCAGAAATCAACACGATCCTCTTTCCTTGTTTAGCAATTGGCTTTAGCTCTTGGTGGCCTCACCGCACAACGTACTTGAGAAAGAGCGCACGTCATACCAGTACTGCGTGCCAAATCGACCCATGAAAATGAGTGAAAAATTTATTTTTTTTAACAATTAAACTACTCAAGAGTTGTAATGGGTAACCTTAGCTTCAATTGAAATCATTGTAAATGTTAAATAGATAACCTAATTTTGGCATTTTTTTTTGGGGGGGGGGGGTGGCGTTATCTCTATCTCTCCCATTTGTGTGTGTGCATTTCTTCTTTCCATGGCTTAGAAAATCAGTGCTCAAGCTAAGAAATAAGCTTTGCTCTAGGTAACTTCAATTGAAAACATTTCTTCATAGATGTTATACAAATGATGTAATTTTGACTAACAATTCGGGGGTAAAGCGTTCTCTGTGTGAGTGTCCATTTTCTTCGTTGTTAGAAAATAATACTAGGCAAGGAATAAGTTTTGTTATCTGAACATTCGATATATCATATATGATGCATGACATTTCAAGATTCCAACACTTCAATTGAAATAGTTAGAAAATGGGAGAGCAAGAGAGTAGAGGCCTGATTTGTTTTAGTAAAGAAGTTTTGTAATTTTTGGTGGAGGGGTGGTTGCTACATTTTGAGTCAAAGGACTGGAGCTAGTTGCAGGTTTAGTGAGATGCCTTACACTTGATTTTATGGATTCACAATATGAGGATCCAGTGAGATTACATGTTGTCAGTTTGTTAGTATACATAAGATG